GTTCCTCCAGATTCTTCAATGCATTTCTCCCCCCCCCCCCTTCTTCCAGTGGAGTACAGGAGTCCTTACCACTTTCTTGCTCCCAGCCACTGGGATGGTAATTCATGGAGGAATCCTCCTGAGTGTGCACAATTCCACTCAGTAAAAGTAGGGCAGTGGCTTTCTGCCTGTGTAGAAGGTGTGACTATCCTCCTGCTGTAGGTCTGATGTTTTATTCCAGATGCTGCCATTCTTAACTGGATTTTTCCATCTGTTTTTGCCCCTCCAGCTGGAAACCTCCCTCCCACTGCAACCTGGATGTTGTTTCCTGGGTGACTGGTTTTGGTTGGAGCTGTATCAGCCAACAATAAGTCCTCACATGTGAGTGGGCTGGGAACTTCCTCCTACTCTGTATTGGATGTTACATCCCCAATGTATTTTTCAGTTTTGGACTGGACTTGACCCTCCACATTGCATTTCCAACTTCCTGATATTGTCCAGATGTTCATTCCTAGGATTTCTTGCTGCTGGTTGTGCTGGATTTAAACACATGATGGTTTAGGTTGTCGGAACTGAGGCTCCTCTTCCCTTCTGGTTCCTAGACCTGAGATGAATGTTTGAGAACTCTTCTCCTGCCATGGACTGGTCGAGTTCCTTCCAGTGCCACTGGACTGCAGTTGACCTCCTGCTTACGGTCCAATGTTCCCTAGCCACTCTACACACATTCCTCTTCCTTGGGGATTTGGAATTGTTACCTTGTTCTGCCCTTTAATTGCGACACCACACATGTTGGCTCCACATGGGTGAAGAGTATACCTGGTTCAGATGTGGTGCAGTCTCCTGCATGTGTGTTTCCTCTCCATAGAGAGGGTTCACTCCATAGGTAATTTTACATCAGTCCCTCCACCTGCTCAGTGTGAGATTCTAGTTGTAACTGTGAAATGAGGTAAGTAATCATATTGGAATTTAGTAATTTCCTGCACTGAAAATATATATCTGATAGATACTTACCTCCTCTCACACTACCCACATGTTCTCCCCACTTCCTGTGTCATTTTTTGTGCCTAATCTCGAAGTGAATATTGGGTTCAACTGCATAGAGGGAATCAGCTGTGATAGAGTGTGTCACACTTCTGTTGGTGAAGGACTGTGGCATACTAATTTGCATGCTTAAATGTAGCTGAACTATGTGGTATACATGTGAAATTAGGTGGGAGTTCCAAGGCTAGTGGCGAGCAAAAATTTGCATACTAGAAAGGCCCCCCAGTGGCACAGCGGTATGTCTACGGAATTATAATGCTAGAAACCGGGTTTCAATACCGTGGTGGACAGAGCACAGATAGCCCATTGTGTAGCTTTGTGCTTAACTTCAAACAAACAAATACCATACTAGAGGGTAGTCAAATTGAGAATAGCTGTAACTGTGAGAGGAGGTAAGTGACTATTTGAAATACATTTTCAGTGTAGGAAAATATTAACTATTTACAAGCTATGAAAAAGATAATTTACTGAGATAGTTAGTCAAACTAATTCCTAAGAATGAAAGCTACTTGATCATGAGTAAAAGTTTATGATGAACTTCTAGTTAATGGTGCTTTCCACTGTTGTTATTAGTCAGTTTTTCATTCTGATGGCAGTATTTCAAATTATTGTTACTTGGTGCTCTTTAGTGAAATAAATATTAGTGAGTTATGTTCTTAAGAGGTAATGTATCACATTGATAAATATCACATGGTGCAATCTTAATATAATCAAATTACATACTGAATTTTTCTTCAATTTCTGGTAAGAGAAATGAAACTGAAATATCTTTTGTTTTTGTTAAGCAGACAGTTTCCAATTTATACAAACCATGAGTTATACAGAAAAATAAGAAAATGCCAGACAGTGTTTTGAGTTACAAACTAATTGAAAAGTAGATAAAATTTACATGGCATCTCAGTTAAATCTCTTGGTATTATTTATCTTAAACCTAGGCTTATAGACCAAAACAAAAGAATGATCAAGCATTTGGATGTATTTTATGCATAAAAAATTGGAAAGTAACAGTAATGCTTTATATCCACTGATTACCTGCATTTCAGCACAATATTCAGCAGTGAAAAAAATATTAATATTGAAAGCACCTTTTCCATTAAAGTAAGTCTTTTTTGCTTTGAAATTGAATAGATCTAAATCTATTAGGTTCATTTTTTATTTTTCAGTTATCTTGGTTTTATTATATATATAATTGAAAACATCATTCAACGAGCATCTAAAAATTTCACCCTTTGCAGCTGTTCTTTCAAAGAAGAGTATCAGTCCACTGGTCAAAAAGGTACAAGTTGTTACAGAGAAAGGTAAACAATCTAATTACAACTTTAGTCCAGGCATCACAGATGAAGAAGTGATGTATCTTCCAAGTGTTGAAGAAGGCGTAGTAGAACTTCAGCCTGAGCAACAGAGAAAACTTCTTCAGGAGGTTTGATTAGATTCTATGCTTGAAAATGGAAACAAAACCAATTTTCGACTTTCAGTTTCACTACTTGAATAGATCACATCAGACTTAATAATAGTCAGAACCTTCTATCAGTGCCATGGCATTTCTGAAGAAACTATAGAGTATGATAATAAGTCAATGTCATCCTTGTGGATTATTGATGTACTGCAACATCTATTGGCTGATAATTAATTTTCTCTAAACCAGGTTTTTTGCTCTTTTGTCTTGATTTAGTGAAGCACTTTGAATAAAATCTGTCTTTGCCACACATGTTGCAGATTAACTCTTTCAATAAATGTAATTTTCTGTGGTATTAATTTATTTTTCTTTAATCAGTCTAAAGTAGTGAAACAACCCTAAACATCCTTTCTTGTTGCTCTTTTTGTGTCATTTCTATTACTGTTGGAAAGTTTAAAGGAGAGTTAAGATGTTATTTTAATGTTTGTAATTCATACTTGATGACTGTAGTCTGAAAATTGATTGACTTTGTTTGATTTGTTCTATAATGAATTTCAAAGATTAAATCTAAAATAACTATACATTTTAAAATTGATATGTTTCTATTTCCAACTTCAAAATCCAGATTAGCAACTCTGTTTTGTTCATGAATTTTAGTTTTTTGAGTCTGATTGCCTGCCAGTACCTAGTTTCAGTTAGTTTTATATTTTGTCTTCTTTCTCTAAGTATTTATGATTTAATCAATTAGTACCATACTGGATCAGCAGGAAGCTTAAAAACTTATAACATTAAAGTACTGGGTTAATTTTTCTTTTGTGGACACGGTGCAGATAGCCCATTATGTAGCTATGCACTTAGCAACACACAACGAATAACCAATGGGTAAAGAAATAATGGCCATTCAGTTCAAAGTTGTAAGGTAAGAAGGTATTATGTACTGCTTTGTCTTTGAAATTCATTATTACAAGTAACATATTCATAAGTTATCAAATAAATATAATTACATAGTTAATATGAGGTTAGTTTATGATGTCTTAAAAATAAAAACCATTTCTCAAATAATGAAATGGCTCATGTGCTATAATTTCTTAACTACAAAAACATGATTCTTGTGCCTGTGTAAGTGATATTTACTTATTTAGTAGAAAAAAATAGGTATTATATATAATGCTCATGCTTTTTTACCTGTGAACTGTTCGGTTATTAAAAACTGTAATTTTGTGTAGAAAGGAACAAATCATTTTTGTTGACAGTTAACACTTCTTTTTTTCTAATTTCAATTTTTCTTCGTCTTCAGGTGTAGCAACCATATTTAAAATGACAGTACATATATAAATCATAGAAACTTACTTTTAACTACAAATGCAAGTTTTTATATTTTCAGTAATAATTCTTAATTTACCTATTTATGTTGATATTTCCAGGTGAAAGACATCAAAACTAATATTTATGGGAGAAACCAAAGACACCGAACTTCTACACAAGATAATGCTCCCAGTTCCCTCTCCCCTCTTATAAAGCAGAAACACCTTCAGTATGTAGCAAATGATATGTCTCCATCTGTGATGCTTGAGGAAAGACTTCACTACCAGTCAATGTGAGATTTTTTAATATATGAACATGTTCAAAATTTCTAAACATAAATTAGGCTACTTATAATAGTTTACTTGATTTCCAGAAAGGTTATTTTATATTGCTAATTTTATGGTCCCATACCCTGAAATTAAACATAGTTTTTAAGATTTATTTTATTTTATGAAAGATCTTATGAAATTAATAGTTTCATGACTCAAACTGACTTTTATATTTGTCAGAATGCCTAGGAATAGTGCTGTTTATTAGGATTCTCATTGGTGGTGTTATCACAAGTAATAGATTTGTTTTATTCGCTTTTTCCACCTATAGTTTTTTTATGCTTTATTTGGTCAATCAGCCCAAAATTTAGAATGACTGTTCCCACAAAATTAAAAGAATTTATTCCAGTCATTGTTAACAATTTGGCTTGGTTACAGAAATTTTAACAGTGAACTTTTATTATGAGAAAAAGTACTTTGAATTCAACTACTGAGAATTATTTATTGAAAGTAACAAAAAATAGCATCTTGAATATTTATTAGTTTTAATATCTTTCAGATATTTTTGTGTAGACTTATATAATAATATAGATACTAATCAGATTGATAAAAACAAAAAAATAGCAAGTTTTGAAAAATGCAAAATTATTAGTTTTACTTGGAAAAATTCTTATACTCTAAGAAACAAAAAAGTACTGTCAAATCATGTAGCAGGTTTCAGAAAACTTGTGTATTATTTTATCATTCACATGATGAGTTTTGTGATTATTTAAAATAAAATGTGTGATAATGAAAGTAAATTTTTAAAAATTGCAAAAAAGCATTGAATTATACTGTTAGGCCCTTTATTAACGATGAAAGTAATCTTAAATTAAGTATGTTTAAACGACGAATGTATTGCATACCAAAAACAATACATCTGCAGTAATGAAATTATGAAACAGTGTTCTTTTCTTGATTCACTAAATACTTTTGTTTAAAGATTTTAAAATATCTGTATTGTCATGAACAGTAGAAAGTTAATTCAACTCTTAACGCATGTTAGTCACAGTAAAGCCACAGATACTCAACGGTGCTGCTTACGATTAATTTTGACTGGTGTTAACCCTATCAGATTATGAAATTGTTCTAAAGCTCTGCCTTAAGTTTCGCATCATGTTCACCGGAAGTGCAATAGTAACACCTTACCTAAGAAAAAATAAATTGTGGGATATGCAACTAAGTTAAAAACAGGTTAGGGTTCAAACTGTTATCCATACGATTTTCTTTACAGTGCAGTAAACATGGGGACTGGGACAAAACTACAGTATGTTATGGTAATAATAGTTTTGATGGCATAGGTTTTTTGCCTTCTCAACTTTTGTATCTGAAATTATAGGTATTAATGAACCTTTTCGTTGTATTAAGATTGTTAACCTTATTCTGAAAGAATGGAGTTAATCAGTTGTTGTTAGGGGACGACTTATTCTCGCTAATCTTTAATTGAAACGTCATCATGAAGACGAGCGAAAGCTAATTAAAATGTTATACCTATAAACGTGATTTCGTTACAGTATGAGTTTAGAAAAATACACATACACATCATTTTAAAATCATAAATAGTAAGGTATAATAGAAAATTTTAAGGAAAGTTAAAAAAAAGTGCCAAAATACACGTATTTAAAATAATTAGATTTTTTCGTGTACTTGTAGTTTTGAGAAACTAATTTTTATTTATAGTAATTTTCGTGAGGTTACAGCAGATGGCGCCACTATAGACCAGCATTTTTTTGATATCTCCACAACCTCAACAGTAACAATCACTGAGTAAACCCTTCTTAAAAAATATCGTACTTTGAAGGTGACCAAAAATTCGAATAAATATTCTTAAGTTTTGAAGGCAGGCCTTTAGAAATTTTAAGAAAATTAGTTATTGTGTTAACATCATTCATGTTTCATAATTTAAACCAAGACTAGCAATTATGACTTTACTATTGTAATATTTTTATAGTACTTTCAAATCAACATAAAAGTTATTATTCTTAAAATTATTAATAATAATCAAATTATGTGAATAATAAAAAGAAATAAAAATGTAACATTATATGAGATAACAAATGTTAAAGCTCTCAAAGGTTATTTTTATCCATTTATTTATTTTCTTAATTAACAGCGTTAGAAGGTTACTTTAAAATTGAAAAAGTTGTTTTTGACCCCAATGTATTTTTGATGATAATATTTGAAATTATTTAACATGTAAAAAAAGAATAATGTTTGAACATACGGAGAACAAAAAAGTTACATTTCATTGTAAAAAAAAAACGTGAAGATTAAACTTTAATTACCAGAAATGTTTGTGTTATAACAAAAGTAATGATAATTTATATAGTTTAAAGTATTAAAAAAGTCAGTAATTCCCATAAGTGAACTTATTGCCCTCTGCGACTACAGTCGGTTATAATGATAGCTTGTGCCTCTTAGATAATGTGCTAGACAGTGAACCAAATGTTTCTGTATTTTACCACACTAACATGTGAACGTGCTCATGTTAAGGATTTGTATTTTGTATACATATATTAAGCATATTACTAATTAACGATGTTAAAGTTGTGTAATCAGATTTTCAGCTGCAAATCTGACAGTTTTGTGTTGATCTGACTTCTTGCATGTTGAAAAGTCTTACATAAATTAAGAAAACTGTATTTGCAAATCATCTCGATAACATGATTTCTCTTGCCCCCCCCCCCCAGTGGTACAGTGGCATGTCTGCGGACTCACACGCTAGAAACCGGGTTTCGAGACCCGTGTGGGCAGAGCACAGATAGCCCATTGTGTAGCTTTGTGCTTAACGTCAAATAAAGACAACAACATGATTTCACCTGTATGAGACAGTGGTAAGTTTGCGAATCTTACAACGCTAAAATCCCGGGTTTGATTCTCCGTGGAGAACACAGCGGATCGCTCAAAATGGCTTTGCTCTAAAACAAACTTGTATAGTAGAAATATCGTTGTGATTGAATAATCCGGCATGCTTATGTTAATTAATACCTTAAATTGTAACATATCGAGGTTACTTTTATCATATAATTCTTTTTTTTTAAATGAGTGTTATTTTTTGAGATTAAATCTTTCATGTGCCAACAGAGAAATTTGTAACGCAAACAATATACCCGTAAGAATTTTGAGATCTTGTGAGGATTGAAATAAGCTTAAAGAAAATATAGCCTGTTTTGTAAAATATTACTAGAAATTATAGGTAATTTATTCATCAGATGGAAAACGAAGTTTTATAATAAATATTAAAAACACGGTAATACAAAAAAAAACAGCTTTCGACGTTTCGAAATTTCCTTAAATTCCATCTTCAGCATTAAAATCTCCAAAAAAATGTTAGTTCATAATATTCGAACTACAAAAAACATCAGCTATGTATGCCTCACGTTTTATCAAACATTAGATAATATTGTTGCCATTTAAATCTGTTCTTTCTAAACTTACGATTGAATACGAAAACTCGCTTAATAGCTAATGTTGTTTTTTGTAGTATGAATATTATGATTTAACATATTTTTTTAGGTTTTAACGATGAAGTTGGAATTTAAGGAGATTCCGAAACGTCCTTAATTAAAGATGTTTTTTGGTACTACCGTGTTTTAATATTTATTATAGGTAACTGTATTAAGATTGTTAATCCGTTCAACAATAAGTATATTTTAAACTTCATCCAATCTAAAATTTAGGTGAACCACAAATTCAGTGTAGCTGACTGTGTAATATTAACGCAAAAGTTTTTTTTTTTCCAAAAACAGTTTCCTTCGGTACATAATTACTGTGTGATTATAACCATAATTATACAGCACATACATTAAACAAACGTAATGATTAAAATTGTAGAGTGTACACATATAGCTACTAGAGGGCTATCTGCGATTGTTTCATCTTCAAGTGACAGAATAGAGGGAAGACTGCTAGCCAACACTACCGTAACAGAATGACAGAATGTACAGTTGTTTGTCAAGTTTGCATATTTAACCTGATTATACCTCTGTGTCTACAGAATGTACAGTTGTTTGTCAAGTGCATATTTCAACCTGATTATACCTCTGTGTCTACAGAATGTACAGTTGTTTGTCAAGTGCATATTTAACCTGATTATACCTCTGTGTCTACTTGACAAACAACAACTGTACATTCTGTAGACACAGAGGTATAATCAGGTTAAAATATGCACTTGACAAACAACTGTACATTCTGTAGACACAGAGGTATAATCAGGTTAAAATATGCACTTGACAAACAACTATACATTCTGTAGACACAGAAGTATAATCAGGTTCAAATATGCACTTGACAAAACAACAAATCCACTAAGGTTTCTCCATGATTGGAAATGCTTTGTAGAAAGCTTAACTTATTCAACTGTAGTATCTTGCGGTTTATTTTTATACAAGTTTAATTAAAATTGTTTAGGAATTCACGTGAAATTGGTGATCGTAACTTCCACAGATGCCTTGTAGTAGTTTGTTTAAAATAATGATATTCTGAAGGTTAGGAACTTTTTTATTCTTATTACATTGGAAATTCTTAGTGGTATTTTCATTGTATATATTTTTGTTATTGAAATAGAGAAGACACGGTGAACCACTTTTCAGTTGCGTGTATGCGTACACTTGTCAAACTATAAACTCAACATTTCAGTCTACACGTCCTCCCTCGTTCAAGTGTTTGCTCTCCAACTCGTCCGAGGTGTAAACATGTGACATTGACAGCCCCCACAATACGACAACCTTCCCCTAAGTGGCTTGATCGTGTTGTATCGTGGAGGTATTAAAGAGGAGGTTACCCAGGTGGTTAGATGGGCTTTGTGGTGGATAGCCTTGACAGCAATGCGTGTCTCTGAAAGTCTGAGCCTTGTGATGGATAGTCTGGACAGCAATGCGTGTCTCTGAAAGTCTGAACTAATTCCAGCGCTATCTGTTGTGCGAAGATCTGTTACTGTTGAGTTAAAACCAACAACAAAAGAACGTGCTAAAATTGCATTTTA